TCACTGAAACTCCTGCTTGGAAAGGGTAAAAGACGGTGGAGAACCCGATAGCTCAGATAGGCTCGCGATGGAACAATATCAGCCGGCGGGTACGTAAGACTCGAATGGTGGCCACCGTTGCCTCGGAATGAGGTTGACCTTGGCATTCTCGTACACAGATAATAGTGGTACCTAGTTGATGGCTGCGTACGCTCCCCGTCTTTTCGATGTCGTACCCTCATTTCGTTTCTTGCGCTACACGCCTCACTCACCCTGTCGCGTCGCGTCGCGGTTGGCAACATCAGCGCGGTTCGTACCGAGAAACGGAATTGTAAATCGAAATGGCCACGAGCTCTGCTCTCTCTATCTCTCTCTCTTTCTGTTCGCGGCGATCACGACGAGTTTTCCCAATGCGGCGAAGCAAGTTGGCCACGCACGCGATCCTCGGCGGCAGCGTCGCGAACGCATCCGTTGAAAGAAGATAGGGGGAGGATTTGATCGACGACGGACGGTTCCCGCGAACGTAAGAAGCTCTGCAGGTCCGACCGTCCTGTCACGAACGACGCTCCGAGAAATGACTAACAGCGCGGCTTTAATTCTCTTATTCCGTCTGGAATCTCTCGCCGCGCGCCGTACCGGGTGATGGGCTCGGGGAAAACGCGAAGGATTGAGACGCGAAGTCGTTGAACGCTGAGGAGGCATGAATTTTCGAGCCAATTATAATCCTCCCGAGCTGCGGACTCTCTTCAGAGGAAATACTTGCAAAAACCGTTTCGCGAAACGCTGCATCTGCTTTAAAACGTGTTAATTTAGTCACCTGAAAATCGTGTCATCTTCAGTCTACAATACTATTCCGTTACATTTTTAAATCGATTTATTCATTCATTTTACATATTCTCGAAGATTACATATAACAGTTATTAATCAACGCTACTAATGTATCCCTTAGATTCAAGCATTAAATCACTTTGTTCCTTTTACCACCAATAAAGTTTCTCAGCACTTAAGAGCCGACTTCAAAAATAACTAGACATTGAATAACGGCGTGTTAACTCGATTCCGAGTTGGAAGCCGGTTAAAAATACCGAAACCTCTTGTAGCGAATGTGCCCGGTGAATAGAGATTTAAGGGAGAAGGTTAAACGTGCAGGTTTGATAAGGCGTCCCTGCTGTTGAGACCGTTAGGATGAACAGAGCGGAGCGCCGCGACGCGAGTCGCGTGGAGGCGTGCGACTATGTACGGTATGCAGCCTCGAATTTTTTTGTAGTTTTTTATTACCCCCCGCCTCTTCTTGGCCGCCTCCGCTATCGGCCGCGACGAATGAAAAGACGAACACGACTGCCGGTGACCGGGGACAAAAAGTAACATCCTTATCCTTGCTCGCGTACTCAACCTCTGACACGACCTTACGGATTTACCGAAAATGAGAATTAATAAAACTAAGGCTCAACGAGTTACACGTGCCTCTCATTTAGTATTTAAAATACAAATTTCTATACGAATTATTTTACTTCACATTAATATTCATAACGCAATTACGTTAAGAATCATCCAATACCCCTTACACAATTTTTTCTATGAATTTTAAATAGCCATCCGAGTCACTGATTTTGTTATTAAGGATGTATTGGCTATACAGTCAATCCCAAAAGTTTATGCACTTTAGAAACGCATTTTTTAAAAAGAAATCAGACGTCGGAGGAACATTG